GTAAACCAACGGTGAGGATACCAGATTTGAAAATCGAAGCTTAGCGACCGCGTCCGCTCGACAAAAACAGCACTCGGTCAGGGTGGGACGGAACTATTGCCTATATGCAAATCAACACCGTCCGAGGGTACACTGCGTCAGATTTCACCGGAAACCGCTAAACCGGAAACCGCTGGGTTATTTGAAACCCTGCGAAAAGCCGCGAATGCATTCGGATTTCAGTTTTGAACTTTTAACGTTCATTCTGTCATATAGGCAATAGTTCCGTCCCATCCTCTCATCTCGCGCTTGGGCCGCCTGTGGTTTCATCAGCCATAATCGACAAAACATCATCATCAGTATCTGCAATAGTTTCTGGCTGATTTGCTCGGGACTCAAGCGAGTCTATTCGGTTGGAAAGACGTTCAGTCGACTGAAGAATCTTCTGAAGGGAATCGTTTTCGTCCTTGCGCCGTTTCGGCGGGGATCCTTCTTGATGTAGGTCAGGCGACGAAACAGAGTTTTGGCGGGAAGATGGCGACCAAGAGCGAGACCTTTTACGCGACTTGTGTCTTCTATGGGACATGTTCAGCGATTTTAAATATCCTGAAAAGCGACAAACATCACCTAAAAGAAACCTTTGTGTAAAAACACAGAGGTAGAGCCTAAAAAGCGGTTAGAATTTGTAAAATAAGCAGGGCAAAAGCAAAATACTTACCGAATGATTTGAAGCACAAGGAATAAAGCCACCGAAGCATCATGGGACCACGAGATCTAGGTCCCAGGGCCTTGTGGGTATACCCAATCCCTTTTATTGTTTCTTTAGGGAGGTTCGCCCTTTTGTTGGCGTTAAAAAGTGGTTTGAGGGACTAACCGGGAAATTCCTACCATTTGTTGTCTCATATATTTCGAACGGAGTCTGTGAAATATAATGCACAGTAGCAAATTGACGTTTATTTCATGCTTTCATACAACCCGGAACTCAACGTAATGTTTGTTTTATAATAAATATTTGTTTCAGCTACA